CGCGAGGAGCAGGCCCCCCCTCGCCCACCAGCGCCGGGGGCAGCGGGTCCAGCCGGCTCATTTGCCGGACACTAAGCACACTCCTGCCAGGGACGGCCGTGAGCGGCCAGGGAGACCCGAGCCACCGCCTAAGGCCAAAGCGCTCGCGCCTGCCGGTGTTTGCCTTCGGAAACGCACCTCCGACAAGTGACCCACACGGTCACACGGCCGCCGTTTCTGAGCAGAAAGGGAGAGAGAGCAGCGGACGGGACGGGACGGGACGGGACGGGACGGGACGGGACGGGAGGATCACCACGTCCTGGCTCACTGGCACAAACGTCCTTGGGCAGTCGTGACGCCGGCCGAGGGCCCCCCAACACTCACCTGTGTGCTGCTTCCCAGGCTTCCTCCCCCTCCAGAAGGTCTCTTATGATGTCTGAGCTGGAACTGAAAGGAGATTTACACGTGAATGTTGCCAGACAACAAAAACACTTTCGGTCTCTGTATATACTTCTAGAAGGTGCAACTCGTCTGGAGTGAGACACAGCCGACAGCAGACCAGGGTGGGCGTGGGGCAAGGAGGGGCCGCAACTGTGCCCAGGACACGTGGGGGGACGGGGTGGCTTCACAGCTGTGCACGTGGAGCAGGGCGCGCCAAAGCAGGTACTTAAATCACCTGCAGTTCACTCTACATGCAACAGCTGCAAAAATCCTTATCACATTAGCAGCAATGATGAGAAAGAAGCACCACAGCCTGAACAAGCCCAAAAACACAAGCCCTGGCCGAGCGGGGCACAGCCGTGCGCCTTCTCCATTTCCTATTAGCCGTGAAAGACCAAGTTGTGGGGTGGAAACTGCTTTTGTAATCAGATTCACAAGAGATATTTGGTTCCTAAGTGGCGTTTAGTCCTTCTGTAATCAAAGTAAAGTAAAATGCAATTAATTTGAACTGTGCTAATAACGGAGCCCGCTACAAGGCAGCCGGCTCCCAAGCCGCACAGGCTCAGTGAGGTCGGGGAAACTATTTTAATGCTTTCACCCGAAAACATTCCTAGGAAATGAGCAAGCCCTTTTTAAAAGGATATGTATGTCAGACCAGAGCCGCTCTGCAGAGGCCTGCGACTCAGGCCCAGGCAGAGGCCGGGAGCCAGCGCCCCGCCCCGGGGGTGCTAGTGACCACCGGCTGCACACGTCTCGGGGCTCAGAGCCTCTGCGTGCCCTCGCGTCTTCAGGCCTCGGCTGACAGCCCCGGTGCAGGCCCCCCCACCGCAGGGCCCCCCGGAGCTCTCAGAGCCCCGAATGTGGCTCACAGAGACTCCAGGGCGGGCGGCCAGGCTCCCGGGAGGGGAGGCGGCCTCACGGCGCAGGGGCGCACAGGGACGCCTCAGAGACACGTCGCCGCTGCCGCCCAGAGCCGGAGCTGGAGCGGCCAAGGCTCTGGCCCTGGCCAGGCTCCCGGGAGGGGCGAGGGCACAGGACTGGCGTCCTGGGGGGGGGCGCGCAGACACGCCAGAGAGCCGTGGCGCGGCGTGACAGCTTCCGGCCCCGCAGGCCGTGTCTGGCATGCGAGGATGAGTGACGTGGCGTAGAAGGCGCCCGAAGGGGGACGCGCAGAGGACGACGGGCCGCTGTCTGAGTCGGGCGGCCGCAGGGTTCCCTGCCGCCAGCACCAAGCCTCCCCAGGCCCAAATCCAGGCGCGTCCGGCCGGTGGCGCCGCCCGGTCTGCGCGAGGCGGG